AAAAATTAGCTGGGCATGGTAGCACACACCTGTAGTTCCAGCTACTTGGAAGGCTGAGGCAGAAGGATCGCCAGAGCCCAGCAGGTCAACACTGGGGTAGTGGTGAGTGGGCAACAGACGGAGCGAGGCTCCAACTCAAAAAAAGAAAAAAAGAGCGAGCTGATCTCGTCAGTTAGTTCCAGAAGTTTGGGCCATTTTATTATCTGAGGGAGTGAGGCTGGGGCTGGTGGGGCAGTGGGGAGACTCCGTCTCCTGTTTAGCACAGTGCCTGCTCAAAAGAGTATAACAGTTTACATCTTCAGTATATATCTTTCTATATCATTTTTAAAAATTTTGAAGTTTATTCACATATCTAATAGAGGAATCATTACTTTTTATTGTGGTAAATATATATAACATAAAATTTACCATCTTAACCATTTTTTAAACTAAAAAAAATTTTCTGAGACAAGGTCTTGCTATGTCTCCCAGATCAGAGTGCAGTGGCATCATCACAGATCACTGCAGCCTTTAACCTACCTGTTAGGTTCAACCCATCCTCCTGCCTCGGCCTCCCAGTAGCTGAGATTATAGGCATGTGCCACCACACCTGGCTAATTTTTTATTTTTATTTTTGTAGAGACAAGGTCTCACTATGTTACCCAGGCTGGTCTTGAACTCCTGGGCTCAAGCAATCCTCCCACCTTGGCATCCCCAAAGTACTGGGATTGCAGGTGTGAGCCACCATGCCTGGCCCATCTTAACCATTTTTAAGTGTACATGTTCAGTGGCGCTGAGTACATACCTATGCTGTATAACTATCACCACCACCAATCCCCAGAACTCTTTTCATCTTTTCCAAATGAAACTCTGCATCCATTAAACACTAACTGTTCTCTATGAATTTGACTACTCTAGGATTCTCCTCTTGTAAGTAGGATCATACAGATTTGTCTTTTCATGTATGACTTGTTTCACCTGATGAAATATTCTCAAGATTCATCCATGTTGCAGCATGTGTCAGAACTTCCTTCCTTTTTAAATTTTTATTTATTTACTTTTTCTTGAGTAGGAGTCTCATTTCGTTGCCCAGGCGGAGTGCAGTAGCACACTCAGGGCCACCCCAGCGTGGACCTGCAGGGCTCCAGCGATCCTTCCACCTCAGCCTTCCAAGTAGGCAGAACTACAGGTGCACATTACCACGCCCAGCTAATTTTTTTCTTTTTGAGTTGGAGTCGCACTTTGTCACCCAGACTGGAGTGCGGTGGCCGGGAGCGGCCACCACAGCCTCAACTTACTGGGCTCCAGCGATCCTTCTGCCTCAGCCTTCCAAGTAGCTGGAACTACAGGTGCGCGCTACCGTGCCCGGCTAATTTTTTGATTTATTGTAAAGATGAAGTCTCACTAAGTTGCCCAGGCAGGTCTCGAACCCGCGGACTCAGGCAATCCACTCACCTCAGCCTCCCAAAGCACGAGATTACAGGCTGAGCCACCAAGCCCAGCTTAATTTTTTTTTTTTTTTGAGTTGGAGTCTCACTCTGTCGCCCAGGCTGGAGGGCAGTGACACGTTCCCGGCCACCGCAGCCTCAACCTGTTGGGCTCCGATCCTTCCGCCTCAGCCTTCCAAGTAGCTGGAACTACAGGCGAGCGCTACCATACCTGGCTAATTTTTTGATTTATTGTAGAGATGAGGTCTCGCCAAGTTGCCCAGGTGGGTCTCGAACCCGCAGGCTCAGGCAATCCACTCACCTCAGCCTCCCAAAGGCGCGGGATTACAGGCTTGAGCCACTGTGCCCAGCTGACATCTTTTCTTTTTAAGAAACAGGGTCTTGCTCTGTCGCACAGGCTGGAGTGCAGTGGCACGCTGCTCACGGCCACCGCAGCCTCAACTTGCTGGGCTCAGGTGATCTTTCCACCTCAGCCTTCCAAGTAGCTGGAACTACAGGCATGCATATCACAATGCCCAGCTATTTTTTATTTTATTGTAGAGACAAGGTCTCACTATGTTACTCAGGCTGGTCTCAAACCCCTGGACTCAGGAAATCCTCTCGCCTCCACCTCCCAAAGTGCTGTGATTACAGGCATGAGCTACCATGCCCAGCCCACTTCCTTCCTTTTTAAGGCTGAATAATATTCCATTGTATGAACTGACCACATCTTGTTTCATCCGCTGCCGGAATTTGGGAGTTCTCACCTCTGGCTGTTGTGAGTTATGCTGCTGTGACCATAGGTGTACAAATATCCTTTTGAGTTCCTAGTTTCCATTATTTTGGGTGTAACCCAGAAGCAGAGTTGCTGGATCATATGGTATTCTGTGTTTAATTTTTTGAGGAACCATCATACTGCATCTTTTTAAAATATATACTGTAAGCATGAATCACTTTTATAATGAAAAACTGATACAAAATCATCAGAAGTAATACATGCTTGTTTTAAAAGATTCACTCAAGATGAAAGCAAATAAAGAAGCAAGTAATAATCACTCAGAAACTTCCCTCCACCTGCAGAGACCTGCTGTACATCTCAGGATGTTTCCCGGAATAATGCGTATAAATGCTCATTAATTCGTCAACCAAGGCTGAGTGTGATGGCTTGTGACTGTAATCCCAGCACTTTGGGAGGCTGAGTTAGACGAATTGATTGCTTGAGCCCAGGAGTTTTGAGACCAGTTTGGGCAACATAGTGATTCCCTGTCTCAATAAAAAAGAAAAAAAAAATTAGTCTATTGATATTTAGAGAGTGCCAACACATAGAGGCCAATGTGACAGGCAGAGTCCCTGTTCTCGGAACCATGAAGAGGAGATACGGTTTATAGGAAGGAGGTCACACGACATAGCCATTTTGTCCCCTGATCGTTTTTAAACTTCTGTGTACTGTCCGTTGTTCTTTTCTTGTCAATATCAGCTTCTACTGTCTTATTTCACAGCTGCAGAAATTCCCGTTTCCATCAAGCTCACCATTATACACTTAGTTTTTTGTACATTTTCACTGTTACAGACAGCAGTGCTGTGAACACCCTGGTGCCTCACGGTGACCCAGTGCACCATCAGCAAGCTCCTGGGGTACAGCACATGTTCCTCCCAAGGCGTTTGGTGCCTCCTGTCAGCACTGCTGGGGAGTGGCAGGGCCCACTGGGTCTTGGAGCTCCTGGGACCACTCGGTCCCTCCTGCCCTTCCAATCTTAGCTTGTCTCCTCCTCCGTGGCTTTATTATCATTGTTGTAAACCTTGCTTCCTGCTGACCCCCATGAGAGAAAAAAGAAATGACCTGAGCTCTCTGGGGTTCCAGCCTCATGGTCTTGGTTTAGAAAGGAAGTTTGGGTTTTTCCAGGGTATTCCATGGAGAATAGTGGAAGATGTTCTGGGATGCACAGAGCTAAACAGGAATCTCCACTGTGGGACTTCTGCCAGTCTCAAGTGGGAAGGGGTATGCTGCGGGTCCCCCGTTTGGGCATGACTGATGTTAGAAAGGCATCTTGGCGGACCAGTGTCCTCAGACACAGACTGAGGAGTTCTGGGCTGGCCCAGAGCTCCAGCTTATGGGCACTGTCTCTGTGGTTGAGTATGTCTCTTCCTCCTCCCACCTACTCTGCCCACATCTTCTCTTGCTCCCACTCCAGGACACAGAACAGGCCCTGGGCATCAGTGCAACCTTCACACTCACTCTGTCCTAGCCCTCTTAGGTGCTCTGGAGAGTGGGTGTGATGTTTCTTAAGCATCCACAGTTTTATCTCATCAAGTCTTCACACAAGCCCTTGAAGAATGCGTGGATGACTCCTAGTTTACAGGGAACAAAGGGAGTCTTGGCTACTTCAAGGGCACATGTCAGGAGTGGAGGAACCTGGAGTTATAACTTGCAAAGGCCAATGCCATGTTCCTTGCTGCTGTGGGCCAGACCTCCTTCTTTGCTGTGGGGCTTGGGGGTGGCAGTCAGGGCAGACTGGAATGGGTAGGGCATGTGGATTATAGACAGCCACCCTTTATACTATGTGAGGATGCTTTGTAGGGACTTCACTATTTTCAAAAGAGATCACACTTTTTCTGCAGGCTGAAGCCAAGTCTGTAGCCATGTTTAGTTGGCTCACATAATTTTGTTTTGAAGTCAAATGCCAATATTCTAAAATGGAGAGATTTTACATGAAAGTCAGGGTTTCTTTTCTTTTTTTTTTTTTTGAGTTGGAGTCTCACTCTGTCACCTAGACTGGAGTACAGTGGCCGCTCCCGGCCACCGCAGCCTCAACCTGCTGGGCTCCGGCATTCCTTCCGCCTCAGCCTTCTAAGTGGCCGGAATTATAGGCATGCGCTACCACGCCCAGCTGATTTTTTGATTTATTGTAGAAATGAGGTCTCGCTGCCCAGGCGGGTCTCGAACCCACGGGCCCAGGCAATCCACTCACCTCAGCCTCCCAAAAGCGCGGGATGACAGGCTGAGCCACTGAGCCTGGCTGAAAGTCAGGATTTCTTTTGAAAATAATGCCCAGGGCCACATACCCACATTCCCACTTAGCAGCCAGAATTAAGCGGCTGTGGTTGCAGCGTGGGCTCTCTGCTCCCTCCCAGTGCCCAGCCAGCCCCCTTCATTCACCTGCAGCAGTTGCCTGACCCCATGGGCATCTGAACTTGAGAATCGCCCCCTTCCTGGCACCTCTTAGCTGATCCTCTTCAAGTCAACCAAGTATAGCTGGCAAAGAAAGCGTTACCATTCACATTTTTATAGATGAGGAAATTGAGCCCCAGCAAGACCCTATAGGACTTTGTGGTAGTCTGGACTTGGGCTCTAGATTTCTGGGGCAGAGCCTCTGCTCTTCCAGTGAACGGGCCTGCTCCCTTTGTTCCTGCGCCATTTCACCAAGAACTCTGTCTGCTTCCTACTGCACAGATGCTGACCTTCATCATGCTCGCCCGGCTGGCCACCTTGTGTCCTGTACCCGTCCTGCAGAGGGTGGACCGGCTCGTTGAGCCACTCAGGGCCACGTGCACTGCCAAGGTAAGCCCCTTGCCCCGCCCTGGATCAGGCCCTGGAGCACCTGCTGGGTCCTCTGCAAAGAGTTCAGTCACCACTTCCTGAGTGCAGTGCTGTGTGAAGTGCCTCATCTAATCATTCTTGGTGCCCACGAAGGACTCTTGATTCTTACCATTGTAGACGGGGGAACTGGCTTCAGGATTGGCCAAGACTACACAACCAGTAAACTGCAGAGCTGGATTCACACCCACTCTGTCTCTTTTATTTCAGTCATTAAACACTTCCTGGGTGCCAGGCCTTGGGTGAGGCACTAAGGATATAACATCGAATGTGATAGATTCCCTACTCTCCATCTGCTCACGTGCTAGTTGGGAAGCTGGGTCAGACTTTTGTGATTGATTGATCTGGGCAAAGTTGCCTGAAGACAACTCAGAGACTTGAGTGCCTCTAGAGTCCAGCAGAGGCCAGGCGCAGTGACCCAGCACTGTAGGAGGCCAAGGCAAGAGGATTGCTTGAGCTCAGGAGCTTGAGACCAGCCTGGGCAACATAGCAAGACCTTGTTTCTAAAAAAAAAAAAAAAAAAAAAAAAGTCCCCAGAAGGACTGTTTCTCATTCATTCTCATGGACTGCTGCAGTGTTAGGAACTGAGCCTAGTACGCCCAGAGGGTATCCAGCAAATACCTGTTAAATTAAAGAATGAATTTGGGTTTTGCAAGGGTAGAAATTAACCAAGAAGAGGGCATTGCAGATGAGACTATTTCAGATTGGAACTTAAAGAGGTGATTTTCAAGTAGTAGAACCTTTTATCAAAAAAATAAAATCTTGGCTGGGTGCAGTGGCTCAGCCTGTAATCCCAGCATTTTGGGAGGCTGAGGCAAGAGGATTGCCTGAGCCTGGGGATTTGAGACCAGCCTCTGGGCAACTTGGTGAGACCTCGTCTCTACAATAAATTACAAAAACTAGCTGGTGCGGTAGCATGTGTCTGTAGTTCCAGCTACTTAGAAGCCTGAGGCAGAAGGATCACCTGAGGCCAGCAGGTCGAGGCTGTGGTGGCCTTGAGCGTGCCACTGCACTCTAGCCTGGGTGACAGAGTGAGACTCCGGCTCAAAAAATATAAACAAATAAATAAATTAGATCGTATGTCTACAAGACATAAAAATTGGTGATTTATTAATAGAGACCTGCCTTGTAAGTTTAAATTTTTAAAATGTGCTTAATATCAAGTCGGTCAACAAAAACAATTCTGTAGGACCATTGTAGTCCTGATAGTCTTGGTGGCCAAATAATTTCCAGTTTTTCTTAGCCGTGTGACATTGAGAAAAGTTCCATTTCACCAGAGGGGAGCTATAACTGGCAATGCAGTATGAGGGTGTTCTTGTATTTGGCTGAGATGGCAAGAGAAGCTCTGCTTTGCGGTCCCCCAAAAGCCATTCCATCTGCCCACACAGGGGATGCTGTTTGTTTGGCACTGGGATGATTGTTGACACACCCACATCCATAGTCCCTTACCCATGATTCTGGAATCTACCAAGATCTGAACACCAAAGCTTTTTAGTAACTTGTTTGGCAACACAACTTGACTTGAACCGGCATGAGGCTATGATCTTTAATTCCCTTTTATAATACAGTCAGCCCTCAGTATCCATGAAATCTGTACCCATGGATTCAACCAACCACAGATTGAAAATATTTGGGAAAAAAAGCAATGAAAAGTAGTAATTCGTAGGCTGGGTGGTGGCTCATCCCTGTAATCCTAGCACTTTGGGAAGCCAAGGTGAGAGGACTGCCTTGAGGCCAGGAGTTCTAGACCAACCTGAACAACATAGCAAAACCCCATGTCTACAGAAGAAAAAAAAAAAGAAAAAAGACAATTAAAACACAAAAATTTTAAAAATACAGTATAACAACTATTTACATACTATTTACATTATATTAGGTATTATAAAGTATACAGGAGGACATGCCTCGTTGATATGCAAATACACCACTTCATATAAGAGACTTGAGCATCTGGAAGATTTTGGTATCCATGCGGATCCTGGATGAAATCAATCCATCAGATACCAAGGGGCAGTTATACAAATGATAGTCATACTAATGATAGTCATACGTTTAGTGGAGGAATTTATTTGATTACAGGATATCATACCAGACCCCACTGGGAATGTTATAAGCACAGTATTACCTTCTTAAAACCCCCCAAATCCTGTATTCCAAAGTACATCTGGCCCTAAGGGTTTCAGAGAAGGGAGTATGGACCTGTGAGGTCTTTTAATCCAGGGGTACCCAGTCCCCTGCCCTGGACCCACACAGCTGCAGAGCAGAAGGTGAGCAGCGGTGGGTGAGTGGAGCTCTGTCTTCTGTCAGATCAGTGGCAGCATTAGTTTCTCACAGGCGTATGAATCCTACTGTGAATTGTGCATAAAAGGGATCTAGATTGCCGGCTCCATATGAGAATCTAATGCCTGATGATTTCCCCCCTACCGTGTCTGTGGAAAAATTGTCTTCCACGAAACCAGTCCCTGATGCCAAAATGGTTAGGGACTGCTGCTTTAATTCTCCTAGCAACCCTATGAAGAGGAAGGAGGCTCTTATTTATAGATGGGGAGTTGAGGTTCAGAGAAGTGATTACTGAAATCACAGCTCTTAGGGACAGAGTCATTTGAACTGGACTGCAACACCAATGCCAAGCTCTTACCCACTGCATTAGATTCTTTTTTTTTTTTTTGAGTTGGAGTTTCACTCCGCCGTCCAGGCTGGGGTGCAGTGACACGCTCACAGCTACCCTAGCATCGACCTGCTGGGCTCAGGTGGTCCTTCTGCCTCAGCCTTCCAAGTAGTCAGAACTACAGGTGCACGCTACCATGACCAGCTTTTTTATTTATTGTAGAAATGAAGTCTCGCCAAGTTGCCCAGGCTGTTCTCAAACCCATGGGCTCAGACAATCCCCTCACCTCGGCCTCCCAAAGTGCTGGGATTACAGGCTTGAGCCACCATACCCAGCCCTACATTCGATTCTTTAGCATGAGGAATTTGAACTTTATACTATAAGCAGTGGAGGGATTATTAAGATTCTCAGCTAAGTGGGCAATGGTGGGGGGAGGGGAAACAAAAGCCACAGGAGGCAATTTCAGATGTTCACTCTCCAGCCGCATCTTGCTGGATGACAACCACCGTCATCCATTCATTCAGTCTAGTCATATAGTAGGTACCAGGAGCTGGCTTTAAACACAGTAGGTATGGGCTGGATCCTTGCTGTCCTTGAGAGGAGATAAGCAAGTGAACACTATACTTGCCACTATAACATGATTAACAAAAATAAAGGTGGGCATGTTACACTGCCTGGTTAGAGGCCCCTCGGCCAACACTGAGGCTGACTGGCATGGCAGAGAACCTCCTGGGGAGACCAGACAGTGTGAATCCCAGAGCGGGTGTTGAGGGAATTGTCTGGTGAGCATAGTCTTAGGAGACCTTGGAGCAGAGGGTTGCAGGGTCGGATTTAAGGTGGGGAAGATAAGGGGCAAAGAGGAAGCCAAAGACCAGCAAAGGGCAGTGACACAGGTCGGGCTCAGCAAAGGACAGGTCTTTCTTCCGTTTCCCACTTTAGGTCAAGGCTGGATCTGTGAAGCAGGAGTTTGAGAAGCAAGACGAACTGAAGCGTTCTGCCATGAGGGCGGTGGCTGCTCTGCTGACCATCCCTGAGGTGGGGAAGAGCCCCATCATGGCCGACTTCTCGTCCCAAATCCGCTCGAACCCCGACCTCGCCACTCTCTTTGAAAGTATCCAGAAGGATTCTGCTTCAGCCCTAAGTACGGATTCCATGGAGCTCAGCTAGTTTTTCCCCAGGGCCCACCAGGTGGGCCCTCACTCAGGAGAAAGAGCCCATCCCAACCCAAAGCCTCATCCTCCCACCACCGCAGGCCTCAGGCCCCTACTTTAGCCCTTCTGCTCGTGGTTAGGGTTTCCAGTGCCTTCTCCAGGGACCCAAGCCCACAGGTCCCCAGCCCAAGCTGTGACGCTACCAACAGTTGGGCCCTTTAGCTCAGGACATTCAGCCAAAGAAATAGGGCAAGGGTTTTCCTGTGACTTGTCACTCTATCCCTCTAAGTCTTTGAACTAAGTCTTTGAACTGGGGAGTCCCTGCCTCACAAACTATTTAGAAATAGGCTGTGCTCACAGCTGTGAGAGGGTAGGAGGCTGCAGACACCACTCCCCTTTCTTCACTGCTTTCTATCTGGACTCTGCAATGCCAGAAGTTAGTGCTCCAGCTGGGCACCTCAAAACGGACAAACACACACATTTTCATTTTAAAATTCAAAACATGAGGCTGGGCACCGTGGCTCACACCGGCAATCCCAGCATTTCAGGGGCACTGCTTGAAGCCAGGCATTTGAGATCAGTGTGAGCAATGCAGTGAGACCCTGTTTTCCACAAAATAATTTTAGAAACTCAAAACCCTTAATTTCTAACTAGCAGCAATGAATGAGGAATTTGGAAGATACTAAGGTTTTTTTGCAGGGAGAACAGATGAGATAGGGTGCTGGACAGGCTTAGACCTAATGTTTCATTTCAAATGCGTACTAATCAGCAAATTGAGAAACAGGCAAAGTTCAAGTCACCCTTTCCCATCACCACCCAGGCAAAACCAGTTGGTTTGTCCTTCTGAGGAAGGTTTCAGATGTGTCATTTCTAGCTTTTAGTACTGAAGAAACTTGAATAACAGGCCAAAGTATTTTCTGTGATATCCCAGGTTAATAAAAAATGATCCTAAATCATTTGTTACCACTTTCTCTACACAACTCCTGCCAACAGGACACTATCTTCAATCAATACACTTCCAGTTGATTTAAAGAAATCCTGAAAATGGCCAATTCACTCCACAAATACTTGACTAGGTTTTTAACAAGACAGCAAAATCTGTCAGATGTTTTATCACTAGAATGTGAGAGACTTCAGCCTAGTCGACTAGCATGCCTAGAAAAGCGGCATCTAGGCCGGGCTCGGGGCTCAGCCTACAATCCCAGCACTTTGGGAGGCTGAGGCAAGTGGACCGCCTGAGCCCGTGGGTTTGAGGCCAGATTGGGCAACTTGGCAAGACCCTGTCCCTACAATAAATCAAAAAGAGTTAGCCAGCATGGTAGCATGCGCCTGTAGTTCCAACTACTTGGAAAGCTGAGGTGGAAGGATCGCTGGAGCCCAGCAGGTCGACACAGGTGGCTGTGCGTATGCTGCTGCACTCCAGCCTGGGCAACACTGTGAGACTCCAACTCAAAAAAAAAAAAAAAAAGGTGCATCTATTATAACCAGTTTAATTTCTGCTGGGTTGACCAGGATGTTCAGAGAAAAATATTGTGACCTCACTACCACATAATACTATTTTATTTAAAAAGTAGAATCATAACTTTATAATTAAAACAATGATGCTAACTTCTAGCTACTGTGTAGTCTTAAGGAAGGTCCAGGGCTGTAGTTAAAGGGGAACCTGGGTGGAAGGGATGTTTGAGCCCTGAAGCTTAATACCAGTGAAGGAAACATGGCAAGACCCCATCTTGCTAGAGATAGTTTTGTCATGGATTCTGAGTACCAATGGGAAACTGCTGTATAATTATGCCTGAAGCAGCTGCTGAGACTGAAAGCTATCTTTCAACAACCCAGGCAGATCACACAGAAGAGCAACTTGTGCATCATACTGTTGTGAAGTTACATGATGCTATTTAGGAATCCCATAAGGGTTTGAGGGAGTAGGAAAAATTCATCCAGATATTTTCATACACATTTTCCCAATTTTTGCAAGAACCACATGGAATAACAGACCCAACTTCAAAAAGTGAGGCCAAGAATGACTACCTTTTGCCCAGGAGCTGTAGGCTTCGATTAAAGGGTCTTAGAACCCACCTTGGTCCAAAGGCCAAGTCTTTCCCTCCCTCTTCTCCAAACCCAACTGGAGCTGACCAGAACCAAGTGTCCTTTAAAAACCCTCCCATGTAGAAGATTCCAAAGGGCCTTGATGGGCAAAAGAACAATCTCTGTGACAAGCTGTCAAAGTCAAGAAACTGAAGACCAAAACCAAGGAAAATACCAGAGGGCAGTTTTTATGGTTTTATTTAAACACAAAATGTGCACAAGCTGGCTATTCATTTTCTTCACTGCGCAGCCTGGCATTAGGATTGGTGACTCTGATGGCCAGCTGGGCTGCTCTTTCTACAATGGCTTTGCGGTTCTTGGAGGAAACATTGTGAGCAATCTCAGCACAGTAAGATCTGGAAGAGAAGCAAGCAAGTGGGTAAGGAGCAAGCCAGTTTTGCACACACCCATGGAAAATTCCACTGGAGAGACACTGGTTTTGGTCACCTTTCCTCCAGAGTCATACATAGGACCAAACAGAGGTTGCTTGGCAAATGGCTGCTGCACGAGACCCACACCCGACCCCTAATCCTGAGTTCCGTGATCCCATGGCACTAGTGGTAAGGCTCTTAAAGTGTTCCCTGGTAGTGACACAGAGACTCACTTACAAAGCATCGTCCCCTCTCATTTAATCCTCACAGCAGCCTTGTAATCCAGGCAGTATCTCTACTTTACAGATGAGGAAACTGAAGCCCACAAATGAAGTAAATTCCCAAGTCATGAAGCAAGTAATGGATGGGGACCAGGACGAACCCAGGCCCATACTCAAAGTTCAAAGGTTCTCCCTGTCTCGGTGTGCTTGGTCTTGCCCATGAAGTTTTAGAACTCTCTGCAAAATGACCAAGAGCAGAATCCAAGTCTGAAACGAGCCAGGGCTCCCAGGTTGGTGCTGAGGATCCAAATCCAGTTGAGAAGTAACATTGTCTATTCCCAGCTATAGCAAGCAACACTTAATGTTTCCTGAGTACCTGGGTGTGCCAGTATGGTTTCAACTCATTCATTCCTCACAACTAACTGCCTTTTGATAACACATTGGCATAATGAGTACACTTTAGTAAGCAGGAAAATAACCTTGACGATAAGATGAGCAAATTCAGAAAGAATTGTTTCATAAGGGAGTCCACTCAAATGCAAAGCAGCTGTCTTTTTACATGTTTCCATAATGTTTTCAAGGCTTAAGATTGTATTACACTTTTGTTTTCTTTTTTCTTTTTTCACTTATACAACTGACAGATGCGAAGTCTTCTGTTTTCATTTCTCAAAACCCCTCATCCTTGTCCATCTACAGGTTTAAAAATCCCAACCAAGCCAGGCTTGGTGGCTCAGCCTGTAATCCTGCGCCTTTGGGAGGCTGAGGTGAGTGCACTGCCTGAGCCCGCGGGTTCAAGACCCGCCTGGGCAACTTGGTGAGACCTCATCTCTACAATTAAAAAAAAAAAAAAAAATTATTAGCCAGGCGTGGTAGTGCGCGCCTGTAGTTCCAGCTACTTGGAAGGCTGAGGTGGAAGGATCGCCGGAGCCCAGC